ACATGAAATTAGGCAACTCATCTACATGATTAGGAGCTACAGTATTTAACCAACTATACAAGGTTAGATAAAATAATTCTCTGAACTGCTCTTTTGTTGTAGTCTTGTCGTCAAAACAGCGGCTGTTCCTACTGTTTTTAATCTAATCTCACAAGAGAGAGAGATCAATGCTGTTAGACAATGCAATAATCAACAAATACATCTCTGATTTATACCAAAGTTGTAAGATTTTGACTTTTCTACTGCTTATGATGTTTCCTGGTACTTACAATTATCTTATGTTTCTAGTCGTCACCTTTTCTTGTGAGTTTGAAATGAATAATACTTTCTTAGTATTTGGAATAATAGGATTCTTTAATTTATTGCCTGATTTTGTCAAGGAACTTTTGTTTGGTTTAGAGTTGCTCCATGACATGATATTTTCTGATTCTTGCATGAACTTTGCTTGGTACAGATTGCTCCTTGCATAAATTTACTATTGTGCATTTGTTCATGCTCTAGAAAGAACATTTTTTTCTGATTTTTCGTCTTGATAATGATTTCCAGTTCGCTTTGGCAGCCAATTTCAACGTGACTTCATTCAAGAAATGTGTAAAACATTACGGGTACTAAATGCTGTACGCCACCATGAGATTGGTATCCCTCTAAGCATTCAGCAGTACAAGGTCTTAGTGCTCACTACTTTATGTCTGAAGTTGCAATTCCATGTTGCCTCTTTAATGAAAGCAACTTACAATTATATTTTCTTATTGTCTCCTTGCAGTTGCTTACACCATCCGTGCTGATTAATCGTCTGATTAATGCTCATAAATACCTACTAGCTCTTCGGATAACAGAATACCTTGGAATGAATCAAGTAAGTTTACAAAATTTCATTTCTTATTTACTGTATCATACATTTTGATCTCTTCCCATCCCTTCCTTCTCTTTTGGTAGCCTTTGGTTTCCTAACAATGGTTCATCTAGGTACTTTTCATACCCTTTTGTGTTGTTACTCACTGCTATGTAAATTTTCAAGTACCACCATACCATTTCTGTTACCTATGTTGGATGCTCATATTTGCTTCTGTAAGTCAAGACGAGCAGTAAAGTTCTACTGGAATTCTAACTATTTACGTTACATTTGAAATTAAAACACAAATGATTTTTGGAATTGTTCACTGCAGTGTCAAATTGAGCTAAATGCTTGTTGTGATAAACTGCTTTCTATTAACAGTTGGATGTATGATGTTCAGATAATCATAGTAATTAATATTAAATGATATTTAACTCCAATTGGTAGCTCTTTTATTTCTCAACTTCCTTTGGGAGATTAAAAAAATATGATAATTCTATTATAAAAATAAAAGTAAAATCAGTTAATTAAAATTCTTGTAGAGTAAATGACTTGACACTGTTCTAATTGTGAAAAGAACATTTTGGTTTATCTATAGCTCTCTTTTCTGCAATTCTTCAGCATCATAGAATTATAATTTTTAGAGAATTTATTTGACATGAAATTTGATGTGAAAATATGTCATTCCAGCATCTCTATGCAAAGAAAACTGGAAAGGAGAATTTGAATTGAGTAGGGTTCAACTAGAATCGTTTATTACACAACAAAGTCTATGATTCGTCTTTTTCTTACTGTTAGTCCGTATGAACAGTTTCTGCTTTCACTGTGGTAGGGGATATTTAGAGCACTGATATTGCAGGTTATGTTTTCTTTAATTTTCATTTAGCCCATGTTTGCCCCCATGTTTATAAATGGCCTAACTGCTTCTTATCTACGCATTTTATGGGACCACAAGTATTACTCATTTATCCACCACTCATTTCTATATATTTATAAGTTAAATCGATTATAAACAACTTCCAAACATGCTGTTAAACACATCTTAGTATGCTTATTTTCAATGCCAATATTCCCAAATTTGAAGTCTATGTTCCTTCACAGCTTGGTAGTACAATATTTATTAAAATCATGTCATGCTTTTAAGTTGATAAAACAACTTGTCTTGAATTTTTAGAGCATCTATGTAGCAATTATTTATTTATTTTTTTGTGAAGGTATTAACTGAAACTGCTTTGACATTCAACAGTTAAAAAATTAGCAGTTATCAAATAGATGATTGTAAACATTATTAAAATAATTATATTGCTGTTGTCCAGCTTTCTATACAATTTTTTTTCATTTATCAAGCTTAGTGTAAGATTCTGGTAAGAACCTTTTTCAACTGGGAACTAATTTGTGATGCTTAGAATCCCCCTTGACGGGCAAAAACCCACCGCCACCACAGTAAACCAAAAAGTAAAGAAGAGAGATGTCTGGGCTTCTGGCAAATAGATATCAAAAAGGAATTCTTGCTAAATAGTCAAATGCAGGTCCTACTGTTACTTCTATATAACAAAATATAAAAAGGATGAAGTATCTATTGTTTGGTAATGGAGTAATTCTGTATCAGCAGTGCATCTAATAATATCATTCTATTTGTTGTTTTTTTGAGTAGGAAGTTGTAATAATGCACTGGGCTTGTACTAAGATAACAGCATCCTTGGGGATTCCTGATGCCAGTCTCCTAGAAATCTTACTTGATAAGGTCAGTGTCTATGTTATAGTACCTTAACCTGTCACGAAAACAACTTTCCTATTATTTTTTTATTTTTTTATCAGTTTTGCATGAAATCCCATGTCTGAATAATGATTCTTGAATTGTAGCTGAAGATATGTAAAGGCATATCTTATGCTGCAGTTGCTTCTCTTGCAGATAAGAATGGGCGCAGGAAATTAGCTGCGATGCTAGTTGAACATGAGCCACACTCCTCGAAACAGGTCTTGGGTTTTCTCATTGCTTTCTATCTGTTTGTTTGGTTCGTTTTCTATTCAAAAAGAGTTGTTTGTTCTTCATTAATATTTTATGTGAGCATGTTACCTGATTAACTTTCGTAGTTCTCAACCAGTGGCTTTAGTGTTGCCAAAAAAAAACTAGAGGATATCTTTTGATTATCTTATTGCACTAATGAGTTTGTTATTATATCAGATCCCTCTCTTACTAAGCATTGGAGAAGAAGATACTGCACTCGTGAAGGGTATAGAAAGTGGTGATACTGATCTTGTCTATCTTGTCCTGTTTCATATCTGGCAGAAGGTGTGCAAATTTTTTACTGAAATGTGCTTACATGAATAGTAGATTGAATAGCTTTTTATCTGTGACTAATACCATCTACCCTTTTTGAGAATCTTTTATTGTGGTTTCAATAATGATATTTATTATTGCAGAGACCATCGTTGGAGTTTTTTGGAACTATACAGGCCAGACCACTGGCACGCGATTTATTCGTAACTTATGCACAGTAGGCACTATGTCCTATAAAAATACTGTAGAGTAATGTCTTCTTCTGTAGAAATCCTTCTCTCCTAATGTAATTTGTTTCTAATCTTTTTATCTTTTTCCAGATGCTATAAGCATGAATTCTTGAAGGACTTTTTCCTATCCACTGGTCAACTTCAGGTAGGTTCAAGTTTCACTTGTTTCATTGGGTCTTTTCCCTTCTCAAATCAAATATGAACTTATATGAAGGGATAAGACTGTAATAATTGTGTGAGTGTCTATTCCTGAATTAGTAGAAGTGCCTGGTCATCTACCAAATGCATATCTACAACAAATTGAACTCTCGGACGAAGCATATTTTCCTTTCCTTTCTTTTGTTCTTCAGGGGGCTGTGGTTTTCTGCCTTTTTCCATTTATTGTGGTATTCCCATGTTCTTTTTCAATTTAATGGTAATGCTTGTATAGTTGCTTGAGTTCAAGTAGAAATCTAAGGGATCTGTTCAAGTATATTACAATAAGATAATTTAACTGATGTCAAGTTTTTTGTTTGTTTCAAATCTAAGTATGAGTGGATATCTTATACTATGGAGCTCATGAATTTATCATCAGATATAAGTAAGTGTTTGTTTGTGAGAGATTATTTGAAGTGAATTATTCTTTTGGAGAATGTGTGGTTAAAAAGTAGGGAAAAGTTATAGGTCCACGTACAAAATTATATTATTGGGGAATGTGTGGTTGAACAAGAGTTCGAGGAAAAATGATTTTTGAAAAACCTATGCCCTCTAAATGTACTCGATATTATTAAGTTGAGATTATAGAGCTTGTTTGATCTTGTCTAATACTGTTCTTACTGTAGAAGGTTTTAAATTTTGTAGGATGTTGCTTTTCTCTTGTGGAAAGAGTCCTGGGAACTGGCAAAAAATCCAATGGCTAGCAAAGGATCCCCACTTCATGGTCCACGCATAAAACTCATTGAAAAGGCACAGCAGCTCTTTTCAGAAACGAAGGAACACATATTTGAGTCAAAGGCAGCTGAGGAGCATGCAAAATTGTTAAGGTGACCTCTGTATATTGTGTTTATTAGCAAGTGAACTTTCATTAATGATTCTCATTTTTTTTCAACTCAAGGATCATTTGACTCTCAATTAACTTCTATATGACTACCAATCTTTTGCATCATGCTATTTGTACTTTTGATTTACACATCTCTACTTTTTAATACTGTATGAGCAAATATAAAAACTATGAATTTCCATTGGTCATTAAACTGCTTTGGATCAGTGCCCCTTGTGTACCCTTTACCAAAATCTCATGACACGTACTGTTTTTCTAAAAATATTTTCAAGATTCTTAATTATTTTACCAGTCATGGAATCAATTCTATCTACTCGAGTGAACCATAAATTTTTGTATCAATTAATTGCGTAAGGACTTGATCTTTTCAGAATCCAAGCAGGATCAGTTAAATTCTTAACAGTGTCTTTTCTGCTAGATTTGAAACTTTAGTCCATATTGGGTGGGACATAAAAAGTTATTCAACACCAATCTATGTAATAATTTCATTTTAACTTTTATTGGCGAATCAGACTAAGAAATTATTTATATATGAAGCATCTCTTCTTACTCTGTTCTCTCCCCTTCTATTATTTTGAGTTTGAAATATGAGCAAGTTTAGCGTAGATTTTCATTTCTGGTTAAACTCTTTATGGATTATTTGCAATGAAATTCAGAATTCAGCATGACTTGGAGGTGACTACCAAGCAGGCTATTTTTGTGGACTCTAGTATCAGCGACACTATTCGTACATGTATTGTACTGGGAAATCACCGGACTGCAATGAAAGTTAAAACAGAATTTAAGGTTTGTTTCCACATTTTACTACTACTAAACAGTATGGATTAACAATTATATGCAAGATTAAGAAATGATTTTCAGCATTCTTTTCTTCTCTCTGCTTAGGTTTTTATGTGCAATTTATTCTAAGCACAAACATTTTTGTCAATGTTGACATGATTCAGGTTTCGGAGAGGCGATGGTATTGGCTTAAAGTTTTCGCTTTGGCAACAATCAGGGACTGGGATGCCCTCGAAAAATTTTCAAAAGAGAAAAGACCACCAATAGGTCAGCCTTTTTAATTGATTTAAGTTATATAAAGTAATTTGTCTCCATATAGTACTTTAGTATGCTTGTATCTTTTTGTTCTCTCTACATGAGTATTTTTTGCTGTAAATGAATGACTGTCCCTTGCAAGCATGGGTTACAAGTTTGCTAGGGATGGTTACGCATTTAGCCCTTGTTTGAGCCCCATTTTGAGAAAAAAATGTATTTTTGAATAGTGATTTTTTGGAGAATGTGTGGTTAAGAAATAAGAGAGTTTTCGATTTACGTGTAAAATTATTTTATTGAAGAATGTGTGATTGAAAAAGAGTTTTGTAAAAATTGGGCTCAAACAAGGGTTTAGTTCTTCATCCTCCTCCAAAGTCTATTTAAAGTTATTATGTTTATCAGTTAGTTTTCTACCCAAAGGGAAAGGGAAAAAAAAAACCAAATAAAAAGAGATGAAGTCCAACCTAGACACCATGGTATTTTTTTTTGGTGAGAAATGATCCATTCCTTGGGCATATTTCCTAGAAACATTTGAATGTCGCCAATGGGATGCAGAATTGGTGAGGTTAAAACTTTTTCCCTTTCACCTTTTCACTTTTAAGTGCTGTCATTTGTAGGTTACCGGCCATTTGTGGAGGCATGTGTTGATGCAGATGAGAAAGCTGAAGCCCTTAAATATATAACAAAACTCACTGACCCCAGAGAGAGAGCCGAGGTAGAATTGATTGTTGAATCTGCGTGCAAGTTTCAGATAGTATTTTCTTTCACAAGCAAAATAGGCATTTTTTTATGCAAATTGCTGACTGTCCGCATTGTAATTCACGAACAGGCATATGCTAGAATTGGTATGGCCAAGGAAGCTGCAGATGCTGCATCTCAAGCGAAGGATGGTGAACTGCTTGGCCGACTGAAATTAACTTTTGCACAAAATGCAGCAGCTTCTTCAATTTTTGATACACTAAGGGACCGATTGTCCTTTCAAGGCGTCTCTTAGTTCTTGCTCACATCATATTTACATTGTTCGCTGTTGAGCATGTTTGCCTTTTGCTTGTGGACTAAACATTGCTTGAAGACGGTGGTAGGTCTCATTTGGCCTTTCATCTGGTTGAAGCTGTGAAGCTGCTGTTCGATTCTGCCTAGGCCTCGTGACTTTTTTTTTGCATCGAACCCCCCATCTTGCAACACGTGTAAGCCCCTTTTGCACTTTCACTTTTAGTTTCTTCTATGTAAATTTGAGCAATTATGTTCCTGAGAGCAGTATTTTCTTATTCTAATTATTACTGCTTGTTACTTTGATATGTAATTTTGATTGTTGACCGTTATGATTCATACATTACTGTGTTGTGCAATTGATAGTGACTTTTTGATGTTATAAAGATGAATGCTTTGTTTTACATATGACCTTTTGCTTTAATTTTCTGTTTAATGCTCAAATAATGCAATGTAACGTAGCAATTTGAACATTTTTTTCCATTGCAGTGAAATGTTCTACATTGTGAATTCATCGAAACAGAGTTGCACTTGCATGGCATGACACGACACGTCCTTTGACAGACAGTAATATAAAGCATTGGACATGGTTGCGGATATTGTAGAGTTAATTAAGAGCCTGTTTGACAATCATTATTGTAGAAAAAAAGAGTTTTGAATAGTAATTTTTAGGAGAACATGTGGTTAGAAAATGGGGAAAAATTTTTGGTGTACATGTATAATATTTTATTGTGTGAATGTGTGGTTGAAAATAGTCCTATAATAAATTATAAAATAAATTAATGAGTGTCAAACGGGCACTAATGTGAAATTAAATAAGTCATTTAATTTCACATATCATTTAACCAATCATTTACATCCACATAGATTGGGGATGCGGGGGATGAATATCATTTTTCTTGTATTAAACATGTCAAACTACATGTTTAGTCATGAAAACGAGAGTACGACCTGTGTCTGACGGCTAGTCTTCATGGATCTTGATTGGATCCGAGCTCTAACCTTCTTGATTGACTATATTTGAGTCTTTCGAGTAATGCTAGATTATATTCTATGCCATGGAATTGTGCTTGTGTGCTGGGATGAATATTGCAGACCAGTGGATTTGATTTTCGACACTCGTTCACACTTGGTAAAGGTTGTCCGGCAGGCAATACCCGTCCGTAGACGGACTCCAGAAACATGTCTAATTCTTGTTACTTAATACGATTGACAGATACATAAAAGTAGAACGGTTTCTCTAAATTATTTGCTCATTCAAAAAGAGAAATAAATAAAGTTGAATTTTCCATGAATAAGCACTCTTGTGGTCCACTTTTTACATGATTAATAATTCCACTACAAAGCTGAAAATCTCTCTTGGCAATTTTTCTACTCTGAAAGCTACAGAAGAATTTCAGTTGAAAATTCTTAATACAAATCTCCTATCTTTTGTGTTCAAACCACGTTTTGACATGGATTTCGAAAGACTTAGACCGGTCACACCTCACATCTCATGTTTGACATGTAAACTTTGTCTAGAAAATTACTTGTTCGGATTATGTTTGTTATTATTCAATGAAAATTTATCGTATTCAATGAAAATTCAAGAGTTAATATTAAAAAATAAATTAAGGACTATGTTTAATTAGCAATGAAAATAAATTAAGGAAATGATTTATTAAACATCAATGCTTAAATATCAATGACATGACTCGTCAATTTATTGGTCTATAAATTTACGGTGAATCTCAATATTAGAATGAAATTCATTATCCATTATTTGATTGATGTACGTGCATCGACAATCATGTTTTTAAGTTTATGGTGAGTCTCAACGTTCGCAATCATGTACGTGGATCGACACGCACAAACATGAATATCTTACAACATGGTAACTAAAAATTTTCATGAATATCAGATTCTAAAGTTTCTAATTCTTGTTTTAAAGTTATGGTGTCCTATGAAGTCATATGGAGATAGGGAACAAGTCTACCAGCAAGAGAAGAATGAAGACTATGAAGATTGCAGCTAATTCTCCATGAGGGTGTTTATCATATCAAAAAATTTAAAGTACATTCGAAAAGACGAAAAGTTAATTTATGGGTATATAATGTAGGGACGATATCTGTAGCAATAGAGGGGGAGGAGAAGAAACAGCTAGTGGTGACTGGAGAAGGATTTGACGCCGTTGACCTCGCCACGGTGCTAAAGAAAAATATGGGTTTTGCTGAGATTACGAGTTATGGACATTACATGAATTGAAGTTAGAGAGAGCCAGAGGAATACTGGAATGATCAATAGGATGCAGATTCAAGAATGTAGACGAATAGATGTCAATAACATATGTTGATAGTACAAATTAAATTAAACGAGTTTATTGATGAAACAATTACAATCGAATATCAATGTAAATACAATGAACAAATCATCTCACATAACTATGATCTTCACTTCCTAAATTCAATAGTCTTAATGTTTCAACTAAAACAAGAGGAGAAATAGCTATTTGAGAGGGTTTGAATTGCATGTTTCTTTATTCAAATGTGGGGGTGTTTATAGATTTCCCTCCAAGCGTTGAGATAGTTTGATCATTTCTACATTGTGTCAGATGGCGGCTCATTGTTGGATTTCTTTTAACTGATTAGATTATGAATCACGCTTTATTCATTTATCCATGTGCTCTTTATTGATATTTGTAGCCAGTCGATATATGGTGAGTGGTTCATGATCTTTATGCGAGCCTTTTGTTTCTTTGTTCCACTCGCACATCGTTTTATACTAACTTGATAGTTAGCTAGTTTGCGGATTTCTTTGCGAGATCTAATAACATAGCTAAAGGGTTCAAAAATCTCAAAATTGTAGAGAAGGAATGAGTATTTCTATTTGTAATTTAATGTGCTTTGTTTTACTATGTATAAGGTATTGCTAATGATACACGCAAGAAGAGAGACCGATTAATTTTTGTTTGATTCAACATAACAAATATATGTGACAATAGATGGATAAAAAAACATTATTTAGAGCGAAACTTAATTTTGTTATAACGAAAAGAAAGTTCATATCAAGTCATTTCTTAATTGGCTAAAAACTTGTGATATATTCGAAAGTATGTGAAGGTTTTCACTCAAATTTAGCCCCAATTTGATTTAGTTAAAAAAAAAATTGATAAAATTTAAATTAAAGTCAACAGTTAGTTTTAATTACACATTTTATGGAACTCATAATTTTCATCAATTTTCAACCGCACATTTCATCGATTTTTATCAAAATTTACTAAAAATCTCTTTTTTGGCAAAACCAAACGGGGATTTAATTGCAGCTTAATGAAGGCAAGCTTTTCCTTTCTTAATGACGGAGGACTTGTGATTAATCTGAAAAATGCATAAAATATTTGTTTTTACACAAATTTTATTGCACCCCAATGGACACGGCAATCAACATAGAATCAAAATGTCTAATTCCAATGATTTGATTTGAAGTGACAAAATCATATTTCTATTTTCATTTATTTTTATATTAGTTAAAAATAATGCTTGATTCATCTTATAAAATAATTCGTTTTGAAATCTGAATACTTATTTTTATTTTTTTTTAGCTTTAAACAAATTGAATTAATAGTTTAAAATAATAAATTTCCAGAGAAGTAGGCAAGTACTTATATTTTGTTTATTTTGCTATAAATACTTGATTTTTAAAGTTTTTGAGTATTTTTTAAACCTTATTTCTTTCAAATTAAATTTTCCCTTCTCACTACATCAACAAATATGTAAATTTTCTTTCTCAATGTCTAAGGAGATGTGATTTGTGAATTGTGATACATATAAAAGTACATCATTTTTTTTGTTTATGCTCAAATTTTATCGCACCTCCCAACTTACACGGCAATCCCCACAAAAGTAGAAAGGTCCAATTTATCATATGCGAAGTGACAATGAGATCACCCGTAGAATTCATGAACAAGGAGATTGGTCGGAGGCAAAAAAGTCATCTAAAGTGGTGTTTATTTGATGTGCACTTACATGAATTATCTAAGAACGAAAGAGACATTCTGTTAATAGCGTCAAATCAAAATATTTCCACAAATAATAATTTCGCATTTCTTGGGAATGATAACGGGATAGGTCGGCCATATATGATATTATTATTTTTTTTTCAATTTGTTAAAAACAACTTATATTCTCTTTAAAAATGATGATAAATTTATTATTTTTGTTTGATAAAAAACTTAAATAATTAACTTTAAACGGGGTAGGTAAAGGGACGGGAACTATATTTCTCGTACCCACTTCGTGACAATGTCCCTGCCTCATTCAAGTAGAGGGACGGGAACTATGTTTAATTTTCTACATTGTGAATTCATAGAAACAGAGTTGCATTTGCATGGCATTAGACATGTCCTTTGACAGACAATAGTATAAAGCATTGGACATGGTCGCGGATTGAAAAATCTTGTGTGTCGCACTGGATACCACTTAACAGTTCAAGGATTACCAATTTAACGACTTTTAAGTTATCAAATGGTTGTTACTTATCCGTTTTTAGTTTTGACCCTACGTGCGGAATTAATTAATCAAAAGCAAAAGTCACTTTTAAGCATACAAGTCCAATTATCCTAGGTTTGAATACCACGGTAATAAGGAAATGAATAATAAACACTGATATGCACCAATATGATGACGGAGAAACCCCAATTGGGTAAAAACTCCGGGACCAAGTCGTTACCTTCACTATAAACAATACGGAGTGAGTTACAATCAGATACTCTCTAGTCAACTCCACTAGACTTCCGATCTATTTGCTGCTAACTCCAAGGTTTGCTCCAAGACCTACTTCAAAATCTACTCCAAGATCTTCTACAATTGTCTATTTCAAGTGGAATTCCAAGAACCTGCTCCAAGGTCTTGTACTCTTCCTGCGCTTGTAGTCCAACATCTCTCAACCTCCAACAGCATATGAAGTTCAACTGAGAAAGTGCATTACCAAAAGTGTTAAGGAAGTAGGTGTTATGGATTCAATGGATTT